AAATGTTCAATGGCCTCGAGGCTCGATCGTTTTTGCAGGGGAAAAGCAACTGAAAAGTGGGGGAAATGGGAAACTAGAAAATAGAAAATACTGGATAAAGGGTAAAAGGCCATAGGAAGAGCCGGGGAATTTATCAAATTTGTTTAGCAGTTGTTTTTGCTGCTTCCGTCGAGAGGGGAAATCTCTCAATTGAAGTTGGTGAATTTTTTAGAAATTGTTTTTAAATAAAAACAAAAGTCAAAAACGATTTAGCAGAGGAAAGGGTATTTTTTTTATTTGTTGGACAAAAGTTTGAGTTGGAATAAAGTTGGGTGAATTTGGTTTGAACAATACTAAGGTTCATATGCGTATTAAATCATAAATGATATAGTTGTTTAATATTGTTTTATAAATAAGAATTTAAACTGATTAATATTTTTAATTGATGAATATTTTTTGTGGCTTGTTATATTTACACACCTAAAACTTGTGATAAAATACCAGAAAATCCTCTCCTTTTGCGGCCATAAAAGCCACGTTTTAAGCGCATTTGGTTTTTTTTTTCTCAGTTTCAGTTTGCCCCAGTGGATTTATGTCCCTTTCACGCAAACTATCGCCATCTCTCAGTTGTTTTCCCCACGGACAGTGCAAAAACAGTATTTATTATCAGAAAGCGGAATAAACAGAAACAGAATTTAATAAAAGCAAAACTTTTTCTGCAGCTGCTGTTGTTGATTGCAAATGAAATGAATATTATTTGATTGAATAACAAGAGTGTCGGGCAAAAAATAATTGCCAGCAATCTTTGTTATGCGTTGCTTTTAAATCCAAATTAAATTAAACAATCAAGCACACGCGCGCACACCCACAAACACAGGAACACACACAAATGCAAAAGCACACGCACACATAAGCACATAAATATAAATGCATATGTACAAACTGCCATTTTGAGTTACAAAATGCGCTGCACTTAAAAGTATGCAACATTTTTTGTGCTCCCATTTATTTTTTTTTTTTTGCGACCCACTCCATATTGCGTGTGCACAACTTTCGTCGAGTGTCAGTGGGGTGTTGGAAGGTGGGGGAAGGGGAATGGGGGGTGGAAGTGGGGCAAAGTGGGGTTGCTACTGTGGTTGGTCAACGGCAATAATAATGGCAACAATATACACACGAAGTGGAAAAGCGGTGCGAGTCGAGTGGGCACACAAACACAAACTGCTGCCAAATGTATGCACAGGAAGCATTTGTAATGCCGCCAGCAGCGCGAGGAAGTTCCAACTCCCCCTTCCGACCCCCCTTCCCCATCCACTCCGCTTTCCCTCTCCGATTTTCCCCCGCCGCTTTGCAACGCTTTCGCAACTTTCCCCCAGCTGTGCTTCCGCTGCTCTGTCGTCTGCTGGTCAAGCGATCCGTTCAACTTTGCCGCCACGAACATGGTGATACTTCTTCAAAGGCGTTTTTTTGAAATACTTACTAAATTTACAGCCTGTAATTTTAATATATTTTCAAAGAAAAAAGCATTTTCTTGATATTACTATTTTTATAGAAATGGTAATAGAAGAAAAGGAATTAGTTTGCAAAACCACATTTAAATTGCTTAGGGTTTTGGAAAGATTTGAGAGTGCTCAATCTTGGCATTTGAATCAATATTAATTAACAAAAAAAAAGTTTACAGCATGCAACAATTAATATAAATTATCAAACTAATAGTACAAAAAGAGTATTACATTTCTTACAAGCACAATTAAAACCTTCTTCATTTCTCAAATTCTATAAAAATTAGATTAAAAATATTTGCTTTCATTTAAAATGGGCGTAACATAAATCTGAAGTCATTTTTAATTTATCTTTTCTTTATTGCTTAAAAAATGTATTAAATAAAGAACAGAATTGTTTGGCAATCCAACTTTGGTAGTATTCCCTTGCACACTTCTATTCAACTGTTTTCCTTTTGGAATCGAAATCCCCCCGCTTTCCGAGGGTATCAAACTTAGTGGCAACAAAGCGTTGCGTGTGTGAGTGAGATACTCCATTCTCCCCTTCCCCCCACAAAACGGAAGAAGGGGGGATGGGAGGGGTCCGACCGAGGGAGCCACCTAACCCGCAGGGCCGCTTGGCAGACTGTTTATGGTTTTTGGCTACAACTTAATTTAAATTGTTTAATTCTATTATTGTTGCTAATAAATCACAGGCACAGCTTGCGCTGCTCGCTCGCTGGCTTAGCATTTGCTAAGCTGTCCTGAAACGCACACACAGATACGAATACACACACACACACACACACACACACACGCACACAGAGGCACATTTGTCTTGTGCGCCTGCTGCTGTAAGCGGGTACTCCGTCTCTTTCTCGGCTCCACGCCTGCCGTCTCTTTCGCTCTTGGCCCCCTGGGTGCCATTCATTGTTGTGCTTTGCATTCGTGCCGTCCCTTTCCCGCCATAAATTACACTGATCTAGTAACTTTTGTGGCAAAAACTCGTAAATTTGCAGCATGATTTTTGGTTTTTTAGAAAATTTTGAATATGAAATATCAGACAGAGAGCTTTTTGGGGATTATTATATGGGTCTGGTTTGATGTACAAGTTCATTCGATGGACATAGCAAGGAAGAGCTCAAATTTCAATGGGAAAATATATTTAAAAAAGACGAAAAAAAAAAAACATCCTAAAAATAAAAACGGAGCCCGCACACAAAAACCGCATGTCAAATGCAGACCAAATCGCTGAGGATGATGGCGTCGGACGGGAGGCGGGATAAGGGGGCGTGGCACACGCTTGACCAGCCGGCGACCGCTTGACATGGCCATAAATAACAAAGCCAAAATGGCGGCCAAAGCGGAGAGCCGCAGTCGAAAAACGAGAAAATACGGTGGGGAACCAAACCGAACCGAACGAAACCAAACCAAACCAAAGCCGAAAAACCAAAGCGGTCCAAAACCAGAAGCAAAACGAAGAGATACGAATAGGGCCAAATGTGATATGTCAAATGCACGCGACAGCAGCTGACGATGAGCCCGGTACAATGACAATGATGTTGGTTGGTTATGTTGGTTATGTTGGTTGCTTCGTTGTTGTTTGGGGAATAAAAATAAGCACGGCGCAGATAAGGTCCTTAAAACGGGTTAAAACGCGGGTGAGCCAGTGGCTTTTACTCAACTGTGCTCGCGGAAATATTCCAAACTTAAGTACTCGAATTTTAAATTCATTGACAAACCATTTTTAATAAACAAAAATTGTATTAGCTTGTGTTGCTAGGCAAATCAATTTATTTTAAAGCTTTCAAAAATCAGTCACATTCCCTTTTTTTCAAAACCTTTTTTAATAAATACAAGATAAGGTAAAACGGCAGAGAAATATTTTCATATCTCCATTAAATCCAAAAAAATCACAAAAGCTATTTAATAAACACTAGTAGTGCAGCCAAAATAGAATAAACAAACAAGTTGTCTCAATTAAAATGTATGTAGTCCAAGGCTTAAGTCTTTTTTGTCTATGAAGAAATCAAAATGTTTTCTTAGAAGCAATAATAATTTATTAAACCTTAAAGGTATACAGCAAGACTGCAATAAATAAATAAACAAGCAATATAACCTGGCAAGAAAATAAAACATTTCTTTCCAAAAATAATAAATGTTTTAGTCCTGCAGCTGTTTTCCGAATTCCGAAATAAAATGATTGAAAATTATGTGGAAATGAAATGCAAGCAAAATGTGGTCAACAAAAATGTGGATAAAAATTGATTCAAGCCCTTGTGGCTTGGTGCTCAGTTGGAAAGAGTTAATATCTCGGAAATCTCAGCCATTCGAGGTTGAAAAACACTGAAAAGTGGGCCAAATGCGGATCAGTGGGAAGTGCCTTCATCTCTATCTATACATCGTTTGGGTCCACAAAAATGTGTTTCATCGGCGGAGGCAACAAAAAGTTGTAATTTCTGTTGCATACTTGCAGGCGGCGCCTGAAAACACACATCCATACACACACACACACATAAGGAATTTCCAACAATGGCGGCAGTTATCGAGAAATGGCAGCAGCGACTGCATTTCCGCTTAATGTTGAGCGATAATAAAACACAAACAGCAACAAAAATCGCCCAACTGCCGGTCGGGGATAATGAAACTTTTTTTTTTTTTTTTTTTTTTGTTCATACTCGTACCCCTTTTGCCATTTGCCACACAATGGTTGCCGCACACACATGCATTGATTTATGTTTTTTAATTTAAAATTTCCGCATCACTTAACCGTTAAAAATAATAATAACAATAACAGCGGGCCGCGGCAACAACAATAAGCCTTTGTCCACGAGGATGGGATTTAAATATTGTAACAGCGCCAAACGAGAAACGGGAATCGAGAGGCCAATGTGCAGCGAAAACTTTTGCACATGTTTTAATTTCCGCATTACAAGCAAAGTGGCACTGAACGAAAATAATGTGCAAGAAATTTGAAATTTAATAAAATAAATCTGAAAACTTTTAAATGAAGCTTAAGCTTAAACCTTTTTTTATACCATTTAGCTCTAAATAAGTTGGAATAATTTGACCTAAGAATCTTTTTGGTTTGAAAATAATGCGTTTTGAATCACAAATAAATGTATTTACATTTTTTCGAGTGCTTTCAAACGATGAATTTTCAATTATTATACATGTGTAATATTTAATTTAAACCTTTCAAGTGCTTTCTTAGTGTTCATTTGTACTTACTACATACAGTACACAAATACGATTAAGCTTTCCTTAAAGTAATCAAATTAATTACACCAATTCAAAAAGTATTTGTATCATAATGTGTTTATATTAATTAATAAATATTATTATATCATAATATCATTTTAAACATAATAACTTTTAAATGTATATTTATAATACTATATATAACTATTGTAAATAGCGTAAGCCATGTCATATTTTTTATTACTCAACCGAAAGTTGTATAACTTTTCCGCTGAGTGCAGCCGAAATATGTGAACCCACCGAATGACCGTGTTTTCCTCTTGCGTCTTTTCCATTTTCCAGACTGGGCGGCCATCCACAGCAGATGCCGCAGAGTATGTCAACTGGCAGCAACACAATCGGCCACGGAGGCATCGATCGCGGCGGCGTTGGCCTGCCGATGGGCGCCGGCACGATGCCCGGCGGCGTGGGCGGTGGCCAGGTAGGCGTGGCCGGCGGACAGCAGGTGGGCGTCGGACCGCCCGGGAGCGGCAACGGTGGCAATTGCCAGATAAGCGGCTCACAGCCGCTGGTCATGCCTGGATTCCCGTTGCGTAATTCCCACTCAGCGCATGCACCGCATTATTCGCCATATTCGCCATCCAGGTGAGTTTTCCCCATAGAGGTATTCCTTTTTGGCTAAAAGGGCGAGTTGTGGGGAATGAAAGGGAATGAAAGGGATGCGGAATAAGGACCCCCGAAAACATAACTGGCCCGGGGTCACAGTGAACACTCCTCGAGTGAATGAGCGTTAAATTGAGTGAGAAGTGGGGGTGCACTGAATATGATTTCCAGTCAACTGATTTTGTTCGACGTTTTTTTTTCCTCCGTTACTCTGAACCGTTTCGGGAAATTCCTTTGTTTGCCATTGCTTAAAGGCCTTGAACTATATTGAAGCCTTCTTTAAATGTGCAACTTACATAAAATTTTGGAATATATTCGCAAAGTGTACTTACCAAAAACTCATGCATTTAACTTATATATCGATATCGAGAAATTAAATCATTCTGAGCAACGATAGCTTTATTAATTTCAAATGTTAGACATTCTCTATGATTTCGCTGAAATACCAAACAGATTAAGTATGCAGAACCAACATAAATATTTTTCCATTTAACTAAGCAACCATAGCTTTTATTGTTGAAGTAGTTCGAACTTCAGGCCTTCACTGATATTCCTGCCAGCCAGCGAGCATCACACAAGCGGCATTTCGTCTAATTTTTATCGTACAAAATTCTAGGATCAGTCATTTTTAGTTTGGAAAACCGAAAAGGCACGATGGGCATTATCGGAACGCTGAACATGGCTCACAAGGTGTGCAGTGCGCACTGGCAGTGGGAGAGCCAGGACAATCCTGGCGCCAGGACTCGCAGTCGCCTTCCGAAGTGGCATCGCCACCGGCAAATGCTCGCGGTGGCCAGCCCAAATCGGGAGACTCTCGACTCCAGGTGTCCCAAGGTCCCAGTTTCCGTCCCCAACTCCTCCGTCAACGTCCTGGATTCCGATTGCGATTGCGATTCCTATTCCGATAACGAGGGCAACGACTGCAATCATCCGGCTCGCGGCCATTTCGATGACAGGACACGGAAATCGGCAAGTTTCAGCCATGTGGAGTCTCTGGTTTCCGCCGCCAACCAGTCGAAGGACTTCGGTCATTTGGTGAGCTGCTGGTGGCCCCTGAATATCTGCCACGGAATGCGACAGAAGCTACATCAGATTGTCGAGCACAAGTCGGACATGGCGGTGCTCTGGCCATCAGGATCCAGGGATAGAGTGCTGGGATAATCTGCTGGGATTACCCATTATCGTGCGGCCGTTAACTTAAATGTTATAGATAGCAGTAAATTTTAGTAAATATATCTAAAGTTATCAGAGTTTTCTAATAACCTTTAGTGTTTAGTTAGTCTAATTGGGTTGCTTGAAAATACTTGTTCCTCCCTTAAACATAACATATTTACTTAGACTTCCTTAGTGCTTTACCTTAAAGGCTTGTGCTTAGTTAGTAAGTCAAAGTGATGCACAAACTTCTTGCCAGTTCAGAGCTCCCTAGTTAGTGCCTAACTCCTTAAGGAATTTCCCTCGAGGGGGTTTTTCCTGCCCTGGCTTTTCCCTCGCCGAGTTGAATCACCTTTGAAGGCCTGACTCGGACACTTTCGAGTCTAACCCAATTCTGGGCAACTTTCGAAAGTTGCCAACTCAAGAATTGTTAATTCTCTTTAAGCTGGGACCACGCCCCCTTTGCCCGGCCCTTTTCCGACCCGTTTCGCCCTGCCCCCAAGCCAAAAAATTTCGTAACTCCCTCCGTCAGCGTTTCGTTCAACTTTTACGCAATTAGAGGCGACCACGCCGAAAGACTTGACAGCTCTGCCTGCGGCGGCTTAGACTTGTTGGCTGTATGTGTGATTAACACCCTTTTTTTGGGGCGAGAATGGGGAAAGCCGGGGAGCTTCGGGGACGGGGGCAGTGGTCTCTGTCCCCAGTCTTGTGCATCATTTTGCATGCGTTGCCTTTTCGGTCGGGAGCTTTATTAAAAAAGTTGCCAGCTGTTGCCAGCAGTTGACAAACTCATTGGCGTACTAGCTCTGCGCTTTTCGTTTTGAGCATAGAGGAAAATGTATTGAAAAAACAATTTTTTATAACATAAACAAGATTTAGAGTTGTATTTTTTAGTAGTTGTGCAGAATATTCTTATATAATGCTAAGTAATGAGGTTTTTAATTTATGTTCATTAGTCTGCATGGTCACACTGCTTCTTTTGCAGTTTGCAGGGTCACGCTGATCCTTTTAAATAATAAATGGCCACACTGATAGAACCTTTTTTCGAAAATAACACTTTAATGCCAAATTGAGAAGCAGATATGGATTTTTCTCCGTGCTCTTCCTTGATTTTCATGCTCTATGCGATACGTGTTTGTTTGGTTGGCTGGTTTCTGTGGTCCTTGTGACATGTCAAGCGTCTAAAGCCACAGGACAGAGTACGGGATATGTGGGGGACAGGACATGGAGGCGAGTGGTTTTATTCTGTCTTGCGGTCGCCCCGCCTCCTTTGTTAATTACAAATGCATTGCTCAGTTTGCTTAGCGCGCTCGCCCCTCTCACCATTTTTTTCTTCTTGTGTATTTTGCAGGTTTCACATAGATAAACGCTGTCAGCACCGATGTTCCTGGAAATGCTTGAGCATCGCCTTAATATTCGTAACCGTCGTCCTAACCGCCATGTTGGCATACTTTGCAGGTAAGAACTTCCGGCTAAAAACATCGGACATTGTCATAGTGCCAACACGGTTAATGAAAAATACACAAGCCCATTCGCACACACACCCTCACACATACACACTCACACAACCACACACCCGTACACACGCATACCTTGGCAAATATTCGCTCAGTGTATACATAAGTGCAAACTACAAACAAGCGATAACAAGGCAAATACATCAAAGTGTTTGCATTACATTAGCGTTAAATGGTGTTAACTTACACACACACACTCACACTGACAAGCTAAGAAACACGGAGCGTCGGCCTAGGCAAACACACACATGTGTATTTATAAATACACTGTTGAAATAATTACAAAGAAAATGCGTTAATACAAGACCCTTTTAAGCTTGAATTTGCAAAAGATAAATAATCCTTAATCCCACTTAAATGATTTTTCTATGACTTGAATTTATATTTATATATATAAGTTAACTGCAAATATTTTTGTAACTTTTGATTTGGGAACTAGCTTATGGTTTCTTAATCAAATTATTATAATTCCGCACAAGAAAACTAAACAAATTTATTTTCCAATAATAATTAAAGCAGTTACTGAGTAATTATAATTCTTGTACACATTTTCTCCGTGTATAAGTTGACATATACATTCCCGGGATGCCTCAAAACGTTAATTGATAAATGTGCCAACTTGTGGCAGGGCATCCTGCACATATGACAAGCAATTAGAAACCGCATAGCTCGCATCCGAGGTCGAAGTTCAATGGCATCAAACAAACCGCCAGATCGATTGACAGCTCAGGGTGATGATGTCATTACGTTTGTTTTCTGGCCCAGATTTCGCGGTCTTAATTTGAATGGGGTAAACTATTTATTTGATGTTTTAATGTGTACTTCTTTTATGTGTTTCGGTGGTAACATATTAAGTTTAAATGGCTTTTAAATAACTGAAAAGCCAAACAAAGTTGTGCCTTTCCTGCAGATCTCACCTGAATTGATAACAGATATTAAAATGGGTTTTTAATGTTTTCCCACATCCGAAGGATGCTTTCCCCTGTTTATTTGTTTGTTTTTTGCTTCTGCTTTTGTTTTTGTTTTTGCTCCCCCAGCATTTTCCTGCTTTTCCTGCTGTTTTTTGTTTACAACTTGATAATTAAACACGTTTTGTGCCGTCCCTGGCTGCTGCCTTCCAAATTATATTTACAGGTCAATTTAATTCTTTTTGCCCATTTCTCTTTTCTGCTCTGGCGAACCCTTGGCTTTCCCGCCTCCATTCCCCCTTTTTCCTCTACGCCCCTGTTTCTGTCTGTCCGCTGCTGTTTTTGCTGTTTGTGTTGCTGTTGCTGTTGTTGTTGTTTTGGCCTGGCAAAAACTTTGCACATTAAAATATGTAAATTTTAATTTGAAACAAAAGGGTTGACGGTTGGCAGGCAGCCCTCTCGCCAACCGTTGACGGCAATGGCGACGATGACGACGCCTCAGCCACCTTAAAACCCCCCTTTTTCCACCCACGCCCTCCCCCTTCTCTGATCACCCCTTTGACCCTCCGTTGGAATATATTCCTGTGGTGGCCTCTGTGAACCGGCATTTTATCTAGTGAAACATTGGCACAACTTTTTGGACACTTTTAGCGTCTGTGCGTCGACATCTGGGCTGCCAGGTTCTTCTCACTTTTCCGAAAGGGGGAATGGAAACGTCCCCCTTTGCAGCGGGCTTTTCCGATGGGGGGTTTTCCGACTGCCAACTGGCTTTTTTGATAAATCTCTCGCGAAGGCTTTCAAATTTCAAACTTTAGCTGCAAAAAAGGCTTTCGGGCGCTGAAATTTGTTCCAGTCTTTTTGTGAGTGATTTGCGTTGTTTTCCCTGACGTTTTCAGGTAAACAAGTTGGCCGGAAATCGCAGAATAATTGTTATTTACAAATCGATGTGGGAAATTTATGTTGGGAGTTTACTATTTTGAATTTGAGTTTTAAGTAAAATGTATTCGCTGTGCTAGAAATAAGTAAAGGTAATATAACTAGGTTTAAATTAACTTCTTATTCTGTTGTATGTGGATATGAATAATTTTTTTTACAAGTGATTTAACATTTTCTCGGAATTCGCTGTTAATTTCTTTTAAACAAATATTTTTTTTTAAACCTTAAGTAATTTTTACTACGGAATTAAATTTAAATACAAATAGAATTTAGTTTATGAAATGTTTAAAGGGACTATTTAAGTGGCTTTTTCATCGCCCATGACTTTCTTAAATGGTTTTGTTTGTGCCACGCATTCCCAATTCGAGCCACTCATTTTTCCCGTTGCTTGCCCTCTCGCTCGCACACTTTCTCCTCGAGCTCCCCAACTCCTTTCCCACTTTCTCCCTGCGTTTAATTTATTATCTACGCAGAAGAAGCAGCAGCAGCTGCTCGAGAGACGGCGGCACTGATTTACAGTTGGCTAAAAGCTGCGGCTTGTTCGGTGGGTGGTTGGGTGGCTTCGTGTGGTGGTTGGGGGTGTTAGGGGTTTCACGGGTGGCAAGGTTGTTGCTGCTGTTTTTGTTGTTGATGGGGCTGCGGTGTCACAGTATTGCAAGTGAACGAAAACAAATTTACAGCAAACCACGGGAAAAATATATATGTGATGCCACTTGGCACATGGCAAACCCCCAAACCCCCCAAAAATACCCCAATTCCCGCCCCCTAAATCCCTCCCCTTCGCATTTTGGCACAAAATGAATTTAAGTTGAAAAGTTGTGAACACTTTGTGGATTGGGGGTGGCATTTTTGGGTGCTGCGTGTGGATTTCACTGATTTAATTGTTGGCAGCCAGCAGCAAAAGCAGCAGCAGCAGCACATGCTTGAAATTTATCTTTTAAAAATAATGTATTAATTTTTGTGGCGCCCCCCACTTTCCCCGCGGCTCCCCCTCTCCACTTAACCGCCATAAACTCATTTGTGTAAAAAGCTTTTTGTTCAGTGTGCGGATGTAGATGTGAATGGGAGTGTGAGTGTGTGTGGCAAATGAATTTACGCTTTCCTCTGTCTTTTCACGCTGTCTGTGTGCTCGGGGGTCGTTTTATGGTTGAATAGTTTTGGCAACTGTGGGGTTAAGACTCCGAAGCGGTAACAGGTGAACTAGAAATTAATTTACCTTTATTTTTATATACTCACTTTGGATCTAGTCCAACTTTTATCCCCATTCCCCTTCCATTTGCGCTATGTTTGCTTAATAATTTTCTATTAATTAAGGTTTTCGCCATGAAATTAGCCAGCACTTTGCGGGCGGGTCGCCAGCTGTTGGGGGTATTTAAAAATGTGTATATATCTTGGGGGAAGCTGTATACTCACTCGTACGCAAATATGTGAGGCCCATTGTCAGTTAATTAACAGGCAGACAGCTTGCGTTCGCTTGTTTGCCTTGTCAGCCTCACGAGTTGTTCTCTTTAATTTGATTTACATACTCCCCAAGATAAACAATCGCCCAAATGATGATGGGAGATCTCGGGCTTCGAGCAAATTAACACAGAAAGCAGCGGGAATAACGTGAATATTTTCCGTTGCCTACTTATGAGGGCTGCGGTGGTGGTGGAATGAATTTTTCTCGAAAATCGGACAAGGGAAGATGTTTGCGGTCTCATCTTAAATATTTTTTATATATAAGGTTGGCAAATGTCTGTCTTCAAAGAACATGTAGTTATTTATTGAATGTTATTAAAGTATAAACCATTTCATCAAGGCAATAAAAGTTATTAATCAGCAAAAGCATTTATACATTTTGATTGTGAAGTTATTATATTTTTTTTACCCAAAAAATCGTTCCAAAAACCATTTTTATTTTAAATATGAAGCTAAATACATCAACATGTTTGTTATCCTTTGGAGTTAATAATTTTTGGTAGACTCTCAGTCAAGTTATTAATACAAAGTATTATTATTATTAAGTTGGGATACCTTATCACACAAAGTATTAAAAAATAAATATTATGTATTTAATTATGAGATACAAAGCTAGATATATGAGAAAACTTTCAAACAATATTGGTTTCTTTGGAAATTTAAATTTTTGGTTGTCTCCCAGCTAATATAAAATAATCCATCACGCAAGACACTTAAGAATAGGTATTTAAATTAGGTATACCCAAATAGTAATCCGAATACTACTTAATTTCAAGGTACAAGCAAAATATATGAGAAAAGTCCCCGAACAATGTTGTTATCCTTTGGAATTGGCAATTTTCGGTTTGTCCCAGCCAAGTTGGCGTCATGCAGCGAAAAGTGATGTCGGCTGACAGCTTAAAGTCCACATTTGCACATTTGCGATCTGCATGCAGCTGTCATATCTGTCCCGATAATCGACCGCAACGTCAGCAGAGAGTGAGCGGGAGGGAAGAAAAGGGGGAGGGGGGAAGGTAGAGGGAGAGGCAAGAAGCGGTGACAGCAGAACGACAAGTGCAACCGCAGCAGCAGCAGCAGCAGTGGCAGTGGCAGTAGCAGCATCAGCCACCCATAAAGTTGCATAAATGTTTGCCCAGCGATTTACAAATGTGCCACTTTCTATCACAACAAAAGCAGCAACATCCGAGCAGGACGTCTAGATGTGGAGCGAAAGAGACGGCTCTAGGCCGGGGGAAAGGGACAGACAGACGGACGGAGGAACGGACAGACAGACAGCAGTTAATATGCTTGACTGGCAGCTGGCCTTTTCAGGATGCGCATTGCAGTAGTTATCGGAAATAGGTTAATCGATTTTTAAGCGGATAACTATCGGAAACTCATTCGATATGCACTGTTTCACAGCCAGATGGAGGCCGGCCACGCCCCCTTGTCCGACATACTGCCCTTATAAAGATTACACGGCCAGAAAATTGCAATCATGTGATTATTGCCAGGGGAAAAAAGCAAGAAATCAGTTTTTGCAAATAGGTCAAGGGTATCTCGCAGAACTTAAAAAAAGTTTTCGATACGTAGAAAGTAAAATAACTTGCCTTACTATTAATTATGAATACATTTATTGAAAATATTTAGTCTAACA